TATATATATATTCAATTTTTTTTGATAAACCAAAGTACTACTTGAGTGAGGCAAGTAATTTACAAGTTTAAGCAGATAGTCCTATTGATGAGTTTGTGTTAGTCTTTTTTTTAAGACAGTCTTGCTGTATAGTTCAGGCTAGCCCTGAACTATGTAGCCCAGGCTGGTTTTGAACTCATGGCGATCCTCTTGCATAAGCCTCCCAAGTGCTGGGAGTACAGGCATGTGCCACCACAGCTGGCAGTCTTTGATTTTTAGGAGGGAGAGAAGAGGAAAAAAATATATAGAGAGACACCTAATTTTATTTTCTATTTTAATCACCATCTATATGCACATACATGATGTATGTACAAAAACTTGTCATCACAATTCTGCAAGGAAGTTGGGTTCTTCCAGAGGAATTGAGTTACGGAGCAGTCACATTAGGATCTCATAGCAAACTCAAAGTCATATCTGATCCCCACAACTCTTCATCATCATGACAGTATTAGACACATCTTACAACCCAGGGAAGTTTTCTTTGACAACTCTTTATTACATTGTCAGTGATGCAGTATAAATTTGTGACTGATCCTGAAAGCTTCTTTTTAGAACTGTCTGGGATATTAGGATATCTTGAGGACTATTTTTGAGACACTAATCCAACCTTCTTGAAACCTTATAGTACCAGCACCCATTAACTAGCACTGATGTCAGGGTTGACAAGTTATTTAGCAGTTGTATTGTTCAATGAGTAAATGCTGAGGTTATGTTTTTATAGGTGGCTTAACTTCTGAAACCTGTTTTGCTGAGATGACTCCCTGGGATCTTTGGACTTGCTTAGACAATTTTGACAGTGGTAGGTTAAGAGGTGAAAACTCCCAAATTTATGTCTTCTATGGAATTATCCTTGCTCCATAACTAGTTTCACATTTTTCAATGCCCCAAATTTGTTTATTTATTGCTAGCCAGGACTTGTTGATGGACATGCATTCTTTTATAGCAGTGGAGTAAAGTGAGCAACTGAAAAAATCAAGTTTGATTCTTGGGCATACAAAAGGGTGGGAGAGGTGAACTGGAAAGGCAGGGAGCCCTGAAGAGGAGCATTTAGAATTAATGAAAGAGCATGATGTTGGGGCTTGGGAGATAACTTGGAAGTCTAAGGGCCTGTTTGGCAAGCACAAGGACCTAGGTTCGATCCCCAGTATCACATGCCCTGAGACCCTGTACCGAATAAATGAATCTTTAAAAACAAAACAAAAAAGAAAACAAAACATAGTCATGTGGCCTAGCAAGTGAGATCAGAAGAGACATCTTTAAAAATATATATTAAAAAAAAAGAAGCATGTTTTCAAGGTAAGGAAGAAATGTTCTCTCCACAGACGGATTACCCAGAAAATAGGTGGACAAGTGAGCAGTTATACTCACATTGCCCCGACTTCATACTAGGTGTTGAACTGAGGGCCTTGTACATTCTAGGTCTTGTGCATACCAGGCAAGTATCCCAACTGACCAGGTTGAGTATGTTCCTGCTGGCTTGAACCACCTGTGGTACATGCATGACTACCATCAGGTGGCTTGTACAGCTGGTAGTACAAATTGGCCTAATTGCTTTTAATGGCCTTACTAATAAAATTAATAAAAAGCTACCCAGAGGGTCAGTCATGCTGCATATACCAGTGATATTTTAAGTCATGTGGCTGTGGGACAAGTTATGGCTGTGTCATGAATCTTGACAAGAGTTCAAGGAGGGCCTCGGGGAATTATCTCAGCAAAGTGGGATTCCCACCTCCGAGAATGTAACATTTACTCATTGAGTAATATAATTGCTAGACCCTAAGAGATGAATGCTAGCCAGTGGGTGCTGTTACTTTAATCAAATGAATAGGAATACAGGTTAATTGATGACTTTGGGATTACATATAGCCTTACATAAGCTTTTCTTTACTGCTTATTAGTGTATGACTAGAAATTTTATTTAATCTCTTTATTTTTATTTTTTTAGACTGAGTCTTGCTGTGCAATTAGTCTTGAACTCACTGTATAGCCAAAGCTGGCCTTGAATGTATGGCAATCCTCCTGGCTCAGCCTCCCAAGTGCTGGGATTACAGGCATGTGTTACTGTGCCTGGTGGTCTAATTTTCTTTTCTTTTCCTTTGTTTGTTTGTTTGTATTTTAGTACAGGGTTTACAGAGTCTATAGGGTCTGACTGCTTAGATCAGACTCGTAGTGATTTTCCTGTGTTCAAGCCTCCCAAGTGCTGGGATTACAGGCATGTGCCACCATGCCCAGTCTCAATCGACATCTCAGTGTGCTGGGGGTGGGGCCAGCATGGCGTGCTGGGGATCGAACCCCGACCACTGTGTCTGCCTACACAGGTGCTTTAATCTGCTGAGATATTTGGCCAGCCCTCTTGATTTTCTTATATGTGATAATAATGTTATGAAAGTTAAATTAGATGATAAATGTTAAGAATACTGATACAGTATTTAAGTGTTAAAACGTTAACTTAAAAGCCAAAAAATTACAAGAGTGACTACGAAATCTTAAAAAGGGAATTAATGAACAAACAATAAGACTGACATTGTCTAAAGAGGATACCCAGGGTTTGGAGAATTTATACATGAATGGTTGGAAGTGCCTCCTGACAATCCCTGTCACCAAACTGACATGTCTCTTTTAACATTTGTTGCTTATGCAAAATACTCAACACCCAAAGTTAAAGGGTGAAAGGTTTATTGTAGCTCAGTTTGTAAAGGTTTTAGTTTATATTTGCTGGTTCCAAGTTAGGGTGGCAGGCAGAGGGCATCACAGAGGAGTAATAGTTCTTGGCAGATGGAAGGCACAAGAAAGAGCAAGCCGCAAGTGGCAGGAGCAGCCCTTTTTCTGTCCTTTATACTCCATCCAGGCTTCCTACCCTTTGGGCAGATAGCAGTCAGGCCCAGCATCAATCCTTGATCCCAGAATCACATATCCTAGATCCAGCCACCTCAGGGAAGCCCTACCTATGACTATGAGGCTTTGAGGGGGAGCATCTAGATTTAAACCATAACATATGGCACCATATCTTATACTCTCTACAGAATAACCCAGGAGCTAGAATAATTTCAACCTATACTATGTACAAATCAACAGAGCAAGTACTAGATTCTTATTTTGCTAACACTTCCTATTTCCTCTCCACTTTTAGATGATATATATATATATATCTAGATCTAGATCTAGATCTATCTATATATATCATTCACGTTAAAAAATTTACAGTTTACAGCACAATTATAAGCTTGTACCTTGTCTTTTCCCCCATTTGCTTTTCACATGGTCTTCCTCAGCTGGCCTTTATGGATGTAATTAAGACGGGTTTGAGCAGGCCAGGGTTCATACGATGTCTTTGGTACATATTCTGCTGCTGGCATGTAAGGTAGTAAGAATATACCAACTTCTAGGCTCATGAACGTGACAGTGTTAGCTTAACTTTGCCTTAACTGTTGGCTGCATTAGTGAACAGGAAATCTCTTACGAACAATCACTCTGCTGAATCTTTTTTTTTTCTTTCTCCCTCTTCTCCCCCCTGCTTCAATATATCCACTCCCCTCCCCTTCCTGCCCCTGCTTCAATATATGAAATAACCCTGGAGGCTCACACCTATAATCCCAGCACTGGCAAACCCCTACAGCTGGCTCTGTACAGTAGTTAAATCTTGGGTCCTCTAAGGCTTTTTCTTCCTGTATCAATGAACTGGTAGAGGCCAGTCTCTATTTATATACTCCAGGCAAATTAAGGAGGGGTTGGATTGAGGTATAGAGTCCTGGTCTCTAGGAAGGGAGGTGAGCAGGACACCAGGGTAGAGAGGCAGGCCAAATACTCAGTGAGAAAGCCAAAGATAGGCAAACTAGACTAGGTCCACTTAGGCAA